GATTAGGCAGAGCCTTCCTGAGAGCGTTGCAGGGGTTAACTGTAAAAACTCTTGAGCTAGATGTCTGGCAGCAGCTGTAGAGATAGCTTCAATCCGTTTTCTATTTGTAACAATACAAACAAACAGTGCAACATATACCAACACATTTTGAGTACAGTGGTTTAACCCATCTGGTTTTTGTAGAATGTTACTTGTTACACTCCTCACAAACATGCAGATTTTTGCAGTGGGTCAAGCTACTCTTGGCATGAATTACAAAAATACTGTGTCAGCGGTTTTTCACAGGAGACAGACTCAAGTTCACATTGTTGCAAGGACAATGCAGCGTCACTGTGCTTTTTCTTTTTTTTTTTTTTTCCTTCCAGAATAGATGGTACTGTAGCACCTAATGTACTAGCAGAGAAATTATCAAATGCTTGATTGGTGGACCGGTGCTGTTTTGTGTAGTGGTATAGCCAGAGCATGACTGTACCCTATGTGCTGGCTTTTACCCTTGATTCCTGATTTTATCTCAACTTCCCTTATTATTTTCTTGTGTTAGCGGTTTTACAGTTTCTGTAAGTATGGAAAGTGGTTCCATACATAAGCGTCTTTACAGACCAGGTGGAAGCTGGTGTATGCCATGTGTGTTCTACTCCCATTGAGGTAACTGTAAATGAGGAGAGAGATAAATTACAGCAGAATTAGAAAGGGGCTTATGCTGAAGAAATTTTCAAACATATAGCAAGTTTCCAATGAAAATAAGGATATAGAGACATAGATGAAGATTACTAACAGTGGGTTCTGTACTTGACTTTGTATTTTAATGATTACATGGGAAGACTTATTCAGGTAGGCTTTGCGTTGTCCAAGTCATTCTACGTTTTATCCTAATGTGTTTTGCAAATTCATATGCAGGTTTTGATGTGAATACTAAAGCATGCATATTCAAGAATCCTGCAGAAGATAAATGTGATAATTATGTATAATTGAGGCAGTGAAATTATATTAATCTTGTACTTGCTCTGTGGTTCAAACTTCAGTAACCATCAATATGTGGAATGATTAAACTTATAATGGGTCAAAATATGAAGACGATGCTAATTAAAGCAGGCTGAATCTGTCTTGCGTGCTCTTACTAGTCATGTACTTGAGGAAGGAGAAAGTAGGTAGGCTGAGATGAAAGGATTAGAAGCATGAGTTGTTCCTATATATGCAGCTTTAATCCAGTGTCATGATAGCACTGTGGACTGGCTGATGATGATAGAATGAGGTAAGTGATAATCTTGCTAATTTATCTGTAAATCTTATAAGCTGACCTCACTAAGGAAAGAGCTTCCTTAGATCATTTTTTATGTGTGCACATGGAAAGAATGGGAACCCTTTAGCAAGAGCTGCCTTGTTCGTATCTTTTGGTGTCAAGATGTTGCGGCTTGCGGGAAATGGAGGCAGCTTTAAGCCAATGAAGTCGTATTGGTGTTGCTCTACTGTGAGGAAAGGATCAAATCTAAGGACACCTTAAGTAGAGTTGTTAAATACCTTGTGTGATGAAAGGAGAAAGAAGTAACTTGAAAATGCTGTTGAAAACTGAATTTTGACATTTTCTTCTGTGTAGAAAACATAGCTTTTTGTATCTTAAAGTTCAGTGTTAGTATAAAGATGGTTTGAGTGGATCTAGAGTGTAGTTACTCAGGGGGCTTAATCTTGTGGGCAGGGAGGAAGTGAGAATGGGTGCACTGCTACTTTGCCATTCATAGTGTCAGCAGAGGTTAAGGCAAAAAAAAAATCATGCTGGGAGAGCTTAGGCATTCAGTCTTCATGTAAGCAAGCAGCAAAGTTCAGGCACCATCCCTGACACCACTTGATTCAGAACCCAACATATGCCACTCTTCTGTTGACACAGAGAACAGAAAGAAAAGTACAACTATGTGTTGTCCATTGAAACTGGTATTTCTTCATGGCATGCCTCGGTGTGTGTCACATTGACAGGGAAAGGGAGGCCCTAAGACTCCTCAGTTTGAGAGTGAGGGACTTTGGTCACAAAATCTGGAGAAAACAAAGTACATAGGGGCCCCACTGGTTCAGCTTGAAGAGACTTCATCTGTTTTAGCTAAGGTTGCCAATTTTAGCTACTCATATGTAATTTACTACTTGTTCTCTTTTGTGTTCAAGTGGACTGAACAGTTGAATCCTGCTTTCCTAATCCCCACACCTTTGGGAAAACTGACTGAAACTGGCTCTCCAATTTTTAAGTTCATTTTAAGTGATCTTGTCCCCTGCTCTCTCTCCTCTCCTGTAACATGCCTATGTCCCACAGGAGGGGGAAGTGTCAGGTTCTTCAACTCCTGAGGCTGTTGGAAAGGCACCTGGACTTTGTTTCTCTCAAAATTTGAACATGAAAAATTTCAAGTTCTGGCATTTCTGTTGTGCCCATGTATGACAAAGTGACCTAGAATGCCCAAAGCTCTCCAAAACTGAGGTGACATAGACCTGACAGAGGTATTTCAGATCATCAGAGAGGTGCTGGGATCTCCTCTGCCTGTTGCAGTTTCCTTGGGTTCTCCTCAACTGAGGAGTCCTGAACGCTGCTGCATTAACACTCCACTGATCCTCAATGGATCCAGTAATCCAGGAACCCCTATTTGAGACATGAGAAGCCCACCTGGACTGTGTCCTGCCTCCTGCAAAACTCAGACAACCCAACTCACCACAAATAGCAATCTCAGCCACCCCAAAACTATGTGTAAATGGAAAACTTCAAAGATGCACTTCCAAGAATCAAAACTGTCAACTTTATAATAAATGGGCTAATCCATCCAGGCAAATTTGTAGTCCATTTGTATTTAGCACAATAAACCCTTGTTGACTACAAACAACAAAAAACATTGAGCAAGATCAGGCAAATGACTTAACATAATTTTGTGCCCTGAATACTAAGATGATTTTTAGACTGTAGTGTTGTGATTAGCAGTGTATTAAGCACAGTCATGAAGAATGAATACTCCCAAAGAATACGGAAAACAACTATTGAAGAAATGTGACTGTTTTGATGTTGTCTGTTAAACACAGCAAAACAATTTGATCCAACATATACCTAGAGATTCTGTATGTCATTTTGAAATTATTGAACACCTTAATGTAAGAATTCAGTTCAGATATTATAAAACAAAATTTCAAGCTCAGTTATCTTCTTTCTTTCTTTTTCTCCAAGCTCACTTTCTTAGCCTTCCAGGGCCAAGTGAAGATACTTCACTGCTTTAAGCCACAAGAGATTGTTTAACGGTGTTAGGAATACGACTGGCATAATAGTCATAATTTCTCAAAGTGGCAAGGACCCCAGCTGAATTCATGTGTTTCACTTCCTTGTTATACTGAAATGAATTTCCATGGATATCAGTAATCTTGCCTGCAAAAAAAAAAAAAAAAAAAAAATTCCAGCAAACAGGAGTTGGAGAGAGACAGTCTATTTTATTAGTACAAGTGATATAACTTATGGAAATACCTCAGCCGGTTTTAAATGAGTTTCTGGAAATCACTTAGCAAGAGCAACAGATTTTTATGCAAGCTAATTTAACGAAATACCTACACAACAAGGAGGCTAAATACGGCACTGTGCTGCCCCAGATTGGTTGGGTTTTTGTGCCTGATCTAACCTGTTTAAAGCTATCCCAGTTATCAATACTAGAGAATGCAGATAAATTAAATAATGTCATTATGAACCCTGTTATCCTTGCCTGACAGAACTTAGGAGATCAAACCCCACAATTTTAGCATATGGTGGTAAAAGGTCTATCAACGTAAACAGCAGAAAAAGTAAAATAATACTACTTATATTCAAATTCTTGTCAGTGAGACTTTTCATAACTTCTCTAACCCCTTACCCCCTAGAAAGGTGAAGTGGCTTCTGTTGGCTGGAGACCACTAATTTTACCAAATTACATGAATGACTCAATTTGGAGTTTGTACATCTGAGGAACAACTGCATGATTTGGCCTATTTTTGTTCTTTTAAAGAACTCAATGTCCACACATTACATAATGATACTAATAATAAACTACTATATCCAGTTAGTAGGACAGCATGATTTTATTGTGAAATAGTAGCCAATAGAAAAAAGGCCATTTGTTTTGAAAATATTAAAATTAATATACCCAAATTTTTTGAATTTGGCTTTTTAAATTATTTGATGGTTAGTGACTATATTAGTCCAGGGCAAAACAGATCATACCATGCTTTCCAGAGCATAATTTGCTGTCCCATTGGAGTTACTGTTGATTTCAGAGGGCTCAAAGCTCCTAGTGAATCACGACTGTTTAAAAATACATACATACTGTCATTTTTCTTTCCAAAGACAAGTTTGGAAATTCTTTTTTTTCTATGAAAAATATAAATAACTTTAAATTGACGCAGTTTCACTTATCTTGGAATTTTGAATGCTATTAACTTACCTCCCACAGCATGTAGAATAGCTTCAGGTGCACATGTATCCCATTTCTTGCACCCAGGACTGGCAAATACATAAGCAGATGCCTTGCCTTCTATAAGTTGAATGATCTGTTATGAATAGAGAGTGACAATCACTGCAAAAGATCTAGGCATTTCAAAATGGGTAAAAATAACATCAGGAAGCAGGGATTAGGTCAGTTTATTCTATGTACTTATAGTCAGAAAAGGAACACCAGCCATCTCCTTTCTGATATTACAAGAAATTATATTTAGAAAGCTATACTGTATGACCATTCTGAATGATCTATTTTTAATTGTTATCAAAAGTCTATAGGACTATAGTCTATAGGATGAAATTCTGCTTTTAGTTTCAGAAACAAGAATTTCCATCTTGTGCCAGTACTAAAAAAATAAAGTCAAAACTACCTCCATGTTGTCTTGATGCCAATTTGGGCCCTGCACACATTGGAGAAAAGAGATTGAAGGGTCTGTTTTTGACAGCCATGACAAAACTAAGCTTTCAAAACTGTGGCAAATGAGTATTCCCTGTATGCAGAGAAGTTTTGCATAGGAAATATCACTGTCTGCTTCTACTTTTATCCTTTCATATGTGCTGCTAGATAGTTGGAACAAAAACTGTATTAACATGAACAGGAGGAATGTCTAATAATTGTGATTAAAATGAATCCCATTTAGTCATTCTGATCTCAAAACTTTTTTATTTTCTCCCCTAGAAACAGAATACCGGGGAAGATGGACCTCAGCCATGACCAGCACAGCCACTGTTACAAATACACCCGTACCAAATTCTCTTTACCTCACAGCAGACTGAATGCTCGGAATCGAAGTTGTGCTGGGGAAGGAGAAGGAAGTGTCCTGTACATTCGTGCAAGTAAGCAAACGATCTCTTGAAAAATTCTTTTTATTTTTCCAATGGTACCACCTCCCAGTAAAAACAAAAGATTTGGAGTTTTCATACCTTATTTCCTGCTCCTCCAACTCTGATGACACTGTCTGGGTTCAAGGCACTGATGCAGTCATTTACCAGGGTACTGCTGTGAGAACGGGTGGTAACAATGATGTGTTTCCCAGCAGGTGCTTCTGTGAGCTGAAATCCAAAAGCACCTATGCCCAGGACTCCCCAGATCGTCCTGCCCAACACAGCATCAGCTCCTGCCTACAAAAAAGGTACACAGGTCCAGACGGTGGTTAATCATAGTGATCAGCATTTAAAGCACAAATGGAAAGGAGTACTTAGAGACATCTTTGCATATCAGGAAGTATAATATTAATACTGGGTTATACATTTAAACAATGGCACTCAAAAAGAACTGCTCTAGAGCCCAGAGTGGGAAATTGGCTCTCTTTCCCTCTAAGGCAATGACATCATTTACCCTTTTCTTATCTGTGACATTGTGGTGGTGCATTACATCCTGCCTCCAATGACTGACAAATTAATATTGGTGTATTTCTGTACTTCAGGCACAATCTGTAATTGAAAATATCCTGTCATTTTAAATGTTTCATCATACATATCACACAGAACATATAGAATCAGCTGATGCTATGCATTACATCAGCTCAAGAGCTTTTTCTTTAAATTCTAGTAAGTTTAATCAGGCTGCATCATGAGCTTTCTTCCCCTCCTCACAGATAATACTGAAATAATCTCCAAACATGCATAAATGCCTGTAGGCTGGCCATCCTGGACTTACATGTGAAACCTGGCCTGATACATTCTAACCCAGCTGTCAGTGACAGGTATGGTTGGTTTATTTAGGGCTGCAGATTTATGGCAGTTACCATACATAACAAATCCACCTATTGCATGGATTTACGTAAGAATTTCTAGCAAAGACTGCAGAAACACCGATCTGTACTTGTTTTACAGTATGTACTTTATAGGTACTGTAGTAATATGTACAGTATATATTACATATATACTGTATTAGTGTATAACACAAGCCTCAGGGTTCAATATGGCTGTTAGTAGGTCCCTGAGATTCAGTTCCTGGAAACCAACATTCAAAATTGTATATATTTAATAAAAACAACACCACCTTATATGACAACATTAACTCCACTACACACTGCTTTTCAGTTGAAAGTGTGCTAACTAGAAATGGCTTAGAAGTGACAGTTAGAAATCACCTAATGCTTTGAAACAAATCAATGCATTTAATACCTCATAGTTGTAATATGGCTGGTTAATAACGCCTGCTATTGCTTTGCCTCCATAAGCAATTCCAATAAGAACCGTTACATGGTCAAGGAGACCTGTACAGAAATAATACGAATGTAGTTAGGCTTGAAAAAGAGAAAGTATATATATTTAAAAATCAACCTTCAATAAAAGTCCACAAGTTGATAGGGAGGATGGTATCTTAAAAATGCAAATACTAATCAGGATTTTCAGGTGTAATAGGTTGGGTTGATACAATTTTTTTAGCCATCTAGCCTTGAGGTCTGCAAAAAAAATGCCCCAGATAGAATTCTCTTAATAGAGCTATGTTATAATTAACACCTAATGAGAAAGAAGTATAAGGATACAACTAAACAGCAGTATAGGATGACAATCTTCTACGATTGTGGTGTGAATTCTTTAATGGTATTCAAAACTAGCAACTTGCTGACAGTTGTGAAAAGGGGGGAAAAAAAATCTGCCTAAAAGATTTCGTATTAATCAACTCCTTTAGCAGGAGGCTAAAGTGAGGTTTCAGCATATTGGTTTTGGAGATATTTTTTTTTCTTCATTTTAGGGTCTATTTCTATGGACACAAATTAGGCTTTGCTGAAAACAGTTTCTTCCCATAACTGAAGAATTATGATTAGCGGGAAGATGTTTTATTTTGAAAGGGCTCAAAATACAGCTGTGGTATTTGGGTTGTTTGAAGAGGAGGATGTAAATATAATTGAGCATATTCCTGTGCAAATGGGAGATTTAGTCCCTCAATTCAAAGTATATGTGAAATTGTAAGTTTGACTAAAAACAAGACAACCTGCCAGCAATCAAAGGCAGCCATTTGCTCGCTGAAATGATAAACACTGGTAGGCACTCAGTTAGCCCATCAGGAATATTCAGTACTGGTCAGAACTGAATGGAATGATTAAAAAAAATCCATAGAACTCAAAAATTACAGAAACAACATCAACCTTATGAAACAATATTGTATGTAACTTCTATCATAAAACTATCTACAGGTACATGCTACTTTATTACATCACTATAATTTTTTTTGAAACAGCAGAGTTAAGAGAAGCCAACCTTCAGTGTACTCCTTGGTTCCATCCAAGGGATCAACCCATATTACAAGCTTTAAAAATAAAAAATAAGGAAAATTAACAAATACAAATCATGTAAATTACCATGCAAAGTATATATTTTACTTTAGTGCTTTTATTTCCTTACAGCAGTAAGGAAATAATGTGATTAAAATGTCTAACACGATGATATGACTGAAGGCTAAAGCAGTACTTTACACACAAAAAAGCTTAAAAACTGACTGGAACTTCTCAGCAAATATCTTAATAGAGGTATGAAGGCTTAAACGGAACATGGAAATGACATTACTTTCTTATGTCCAAAGTGGATTCCTTTCAAATTAATTTGAACCACAAGTTGTAAGAAGCAAATTTCCGTTTCCCATTATTGCACACAGGGATAGGCAGCATTTCCAGTTCTGGAGGTGTGATTCTCAAGACCGCATTTCAGTTTTCAAACCAAAAAGAAAAATTGGCAATACTGAAGTAACCTTTTTTCTTAACACATTCTTAGCTAAAATCAATAAGTAATATAGAGTGTAAAATACGAATACATATGTATAGCATTACCACATTACCTCTTCCTCTTTAATTCCTGTGTACTGAGCAGGACAAGTTTTCTTCAGTATTTCTTCACAGTGACCATCTTCAATTAATTCCTCAGTTACCTCATCAGTGGACAGTTCCTAACAAAAGGACTCTTAGGATTATTAGAAAAAGGTGTTGGACTCACCTCAATTTGCCTTAGAACTGTGGATTTCCTTGCAGCTTATTTGACAAAGCTAATGCAATAGAAAGATGAAATGGGATGGAAATACAATTTTTTTTTTTATTTTAAAACAGATGATTTCCTAAAACATGCCAAAGCAAATTCCACTGCAAGTTACAGCAAGTTCAATTGTTAATTGTACTTACTTCTTCTCCTATGATTGTCACCTTAGGAAACTTCCGTGCCAGGGAAGCACAAATGCTCATTTGTACCAGTCGGTCAGCTTTGGTCTGCAAGTCATTGGCTCCTGTCTGTCAAAGGATGGATAGGAATTTGTGTATTTCAAAACAACAATAACAGAAAAAAACAATACAATGGCCCATATGTTGCTCTGAATGTCTACCTTGTAATGAAAAAGAAGTCTTAATTTGATAAATCATCAACCTAGTAAGTGATCTTGAGAGAGGCAGGCTAAAAACTGAAAGAAGCAGAGTTTCCCTGTACACCCCAGAGCTAAGACAGACTGGTATGATATTAGAACAATATTTACATGTTGTGTTGTTCTTATGCAGTGGTGCAATTGTACTGAATATGTGTTTATGCAAGTACTGCACTATGTACAGAATAAATTAATACAAGTATGAATCCAGATATAATACAAGAAAAGGGAAAAGCAAAAATTAAGATTAACAGGAAAAAATTATTTTAAGGCTCACTGGAGAGACATGGCAAATTAGGATAGAGGAGAAATAGAGGGAAGGTGTTAGTAAAAGGTGATTTAAAGGTCCAATTAATCTAGCTTGTTTAAAAAAAAAAAGGAAACAATTATGATGTATAAACTTTTAAATAGTGAATGGTTCCTTAGTCTAGCAGAGAAGGACCAAGGAGAGCCAGAAACTAACCAGTGAAACTGAACTGGAATGTAATACCATACATTTTTTCCAGCAAAAATTCTAGAGAGGAAACAGTGGATTTGGTATTTCAAGATGACATGAAACAATGACTGAAAGCCTTCCCAAAAGATGTAGTGTGGCCAAACATGTTGCCAGATGGCTTACAGCAATTTCTTCTTAAACATTAGTAACCTGTTATATAGTGGAAGAGGGTAATTTATGAATACTTTCTTGCCTTAATCTTCGTGTATCTATGAACGGAGGAGCCCTTTAGGTCCAAAGACAGAATCCCAGTAAGCAATACTTCTGTTGGCACTTGAATTAAGAAAGCCAGTTCATCCAAGGAATGGTATCTTAGTTGAATCAAAAATTTTATTTTGTCTGCTTGTATCTTATTTAGTGACAACATGAAAATTGTTTTATTAAGCTACAGAAATTAGCCACAGGAATAGAATATTTCATTATAATCATGTTATGGGTTAATTTTTGCATGCTCAAAACCTAGTCGGTCCTTTATCAAATTGCCTGTTTTTATGAAACTTGATATTTTTCTTTGAAATTTCCCTCTCATCCCCTAATAAATTTGATTGAATTTGGCACTGAGTTTAGACTCAGAAAGATCAAGTAAATTGCAGAGAATGTCCTTTGTTCCAGGTCACCAACCTAATAAAACAATATAAAGTAGTTCTTCAAAACAGTCATCAATAATGTAAGAATGTCTGGACAAAATGTCTACCTACCAATTGGAAAAAAAAAAAGTGCTTGTTTGCTTAAAATGTGTTTGTTTGCTGGTTTTATTACATTAGAAAATGATTGAGCAATGCATTTCTGATTTACTGGGAAATAATACTAACACACATGCATTTTTTTAAAGTGAACCTGAATTAAATGGATAAAAGCCAGCATTTAGTTTTAGTTAAAATTACCTTAACCTTGCTGGACTCTTAAAAAATAAGCTTGATGAAACTTGTTTATGCATTTTAAATTAACTGGTTAATCAAAATACAGACAGTGCTTCCTTTGTACCTCTGGATACAAGTATTTTGAGGCTTTCTTGTAGTGAAACTGTGTTAGTTTTTCCAAGAACCTAAAAGCAGGTTATGTGGGAGAGTATATTCTACTTACATGTGTCCGAGAATCCTGCTATGCATCTAAGTACTTTTGAAAACACAGATCATTACTCTCCAGGGTTTTTTTAATTCTTTCCCCCATACACCTGATTTTAATTGCTTAGAAAATAAGGGAATTAAGAAAAACTTGCAAATGGTTTCGTAGTGGAGAATAAAACTGACCAAATGGGAAAAAGAACTTTTTGCATCTGCTGTCTGAAATGACAGTAAAAGTCATAAAGGATCAGGCTTTTCTTCACAAATGACTGAAAGTACTTACTGTCAGAAAAATGTAAATACCAGCAATTACTTCAATGTAAAGACCAAAAATAATATAGATACTTAATGCAGTCCATAATATTGTGACATAGCTGTAAAGCTAGAATTAACTTAAAAAGTTAACTCCACCTATTCTAGTACTGTAGTCAAAGCAAAGATCCTGGCTCATCAGTGCAGCTTACTAACTTAGACCAAATTAAGAACTTCATGCAGATGATTGTAATTTTATTTCCATTTTCTGTTTAGAATTAAATCTGAAGCTCTGAATTTATTTTGAAAACTTTGATTTACAATAAAATCTAAGGTTCTTTTTTAAGAAACTAAACACTGATTTACCCTAATCCAAAATTCACGAAGGGCACAGTACTTTCAGCTGTACTACAGATGTTAGAACATAGGTATGGAAATTAATGAGAAAGATACATTATTATGAATTCTGACATGCTATCCAAAGCTTGTGTTTTGTGAGGGGAATCAGGACAAAATCATGGTGTGTTTCTTTTAAGTGTCTAAACATTCTTTAGAAATACTAGTCAAAAGACACTTCTCCAGTGCTCTCTTAATCCTTTAATAAGGAATATTTCTTGTATCAGAGAGGCGAGGACTGCATTTCCTTCCCCAGTTGCTGATCTTCAAAAATACCACTTTGACCTGTATCTAACTGAGCATACAAGAGAAATTAAATTGGAACAAAGTAAAAGTAATACCTTCTCCACTATTCCCAGATCTCCTGCAGCCATTACATTTCTAACAATTGCTGCAGCTTTTTCTGCAACAGAATATGCAGAGGCGACCACACGCATGAGTAGAGCTGGAGAGGCCATACTGAATGCTGAAAAGAAACAAAAAGCAAGATTGCACATTTCTCTCTCCAAGAGAAGACACGAAGGAGAATATTTTAAATAACATTTCAAGCAGATACAGTTTAAGCTGAGTAGGAAGGTGAAAGTGGGTTACTGCCAGTGAGTAGTAATAAAGTGAGCTTTGACTTTTAAAAAAAATACAATTAACAAACACAGGGAGCTAAAGCTATGTTAGACAAGAATTTTCAAATGTCTGTGCTCTATCTGACAGTGAACCTAGTTCTCCTCACTAAACTCAAATCTGGCATTAAACAAGAACAGCAGCAGCAGCAGAAACTCTTTATCATATGTTAAGAAAAAGTGTAGCCTACACACAGTACTCATTTTTTGTACATTTTGAACATAAGTTCATTTTTTCAGAACTGAACCTACAGAGTTGGTTTGTGCCCAGACTCAAGTACAAGGCTACCAGACAGGATGACGAGCAACTTTACTTACTATTTTTTTGTTTAAATATAAAATAGGTTTTTGTAGATGGCGTAATTGTGGACACAAAATAGGCTAATGATACGCAGATACTCCAAACACCGTACTTGTATGAGAAAGTCTGTTCATCTAAATTTTACCATCCTTTATTTCTTTAACTTCTGTTGATTTCTTTAAGGAAACCTATTACACCTTCCTTCCTCCCCTCAACACCACATGTCCTGTCATTCTTCCTATTGTATTGTCTTCTACATCTGCTCCCCAGCACACATCAGTGCAATTCACTATGCCTTCAGTTCCCAAATAGAAGAGTAACTATCACTCTTGCAAAAGGCTAGCAACCATCCATTCCTCCCAGCTTTTCTCTACCTCAGGAAAAAGAAGTATTGATAACCATGCTATATTCTTTAAAATGCAGAGCTAACTGCTTTTTATGTTTTCCTGTCAGTTTTTTTCTATTTGTGTAGATTACATGCTTTTTGGGTTGGGCTCACATGTATGATATACTTCCAAGTAAACACTTGAGCACAGAGCTAGAAAAAAAAAATACAGAGAAACTCATTAATCACCACATAGAAGACGATATATTAGGCTTCCCTCACTATTGTTTTTTCCAGCAATTGCAGCAAGTATTGCATAAGCGGCAATAGGTCGTTATACGCCACCTTTCCTTCCTTGCTTGATGTCTACTCAGTAAAGTATAATATAATGAGGTGATAAGACTAGCTACTGTAGATGATATTGATGTGACCTCAAGTTCACATCTGTTTACAGCAAAGGAGAACAGCAATGTCAGAGGTATCAAAATCCCAAATTTAGCTGGTTTAAGAACTTTTTCAGCATTTTAGAAACACTTTACGACTATCTCTAAAGTCAGAAGATCTCTGAAGCTTAAAGAGTAGAGTGAGTGTGTAAGTACATTCAAACAGCACAGTTGCTACTGTTAATTATTATTTACTGCTCATAGATGGGAGCAAAGTGCTCTGGAGTCCTGTAAAATAGCCAAGGTCCATACCCAAAGTGTACATGTGGGCTATCTTGGACTGGTAACAATGGTCACTGAGGAAATTTTGGAAACGTTACCTGTGGCAAAAAGCAGCTCTCAAACATAGGACAAATATGTGTCATAACACATGGGAAGACAGATACTATTTTAAGTATATACCATCGTGTGAAACAATTAACAGGAAGGAAAATTTAATGTAGTTCATTCCATACTGAAAATACCTGGAATATGAGTACTTCTGAGAGGGAGTAAAAAAATTACCATATTAGATGGGAAGTTTGGGTTAAAGAATTGAGCTCAGAAGAAGACAGTTAAGATTTTATGCTCAGCTTCTCATTCTTCATTTGACCTTTTACGCACATTTGATCCTGCTTCGTAAAATTAGGTTAAAACTTACATAATTGTTTTAAAGACTTGATTTATTTAACGTTTGCATAAAGTTTCAAAAGGCTCAGAAAACAATACAGAAATACTATCTTACATTCTTGAAGCTTGACCCAAGGTGCTTCTTGGGCACATTTTTCTTGAACATTCTTAAGGCAAACAAGTATACTTTCTGTAGGGAAGCTATACCTGAAATCTGTAAGCAAACCTTAAAATAAAAATATTCTTATGAAAAACAAGATTTATTAAGAGAAACTGAAATGGGAGGTTCAACACCCCCTCCTCCCCAATAGAGAGTAACTAACTAATGAAGGGCAAAGTATTACTGCAAAAGGTGCCTTAAATTTTTACAGGGCTGCATCTCCTGTGTGGCACATTTTCTGGTGTGTTGGACCTTTTTGGTTACATAAGCGTGTGTGCTAGCTGGCCATGAATTTCTCATCTCTGTAATGTTTTGATCTAAACTAGATTAACGAGTTTGTTTATAAGTTTATGGCACATTCTTTCTGATGAGGGCAATGTCTAATGTATACTTCTACAGTACGTTAAAGAATATATTGCTTGTTTTGGACAAACAAGTTTGACTCTTACAAAACTGTACATTTTACAAAGATTGCGCAGCAACTATCCATCAGTTTAAATTTGCATATTATTTTCAAAACATACATTGTCCTTCAAAGACTGTCCATCCTTTATCCTAGCCTTGCAACCAAACTGTAGAAAGGTCCCAACTGGACAAATCAGCCTGCTTTGATACCCACTAAAATAAATGAGTTCTCCAGTTCTCATTACACATTTTAACTTTGAAATATTTAAATATTACAGGATGGCTACAATTAATTTATCAAAACAAGTATGAAGGACTTGATATTCCTATCTCAGTGTCTTTTCTGCAAACATCCATTTTCCAAATTTTTAATTTCACCTGATGAAAGGAGAAAATGGACATCACACCCAACATGCCTTTAAATGCAAGTGCTAAACTATGACTTCTTCCTCTGAACTCTTCAAAGCCTAAGTAACTACAGTTCCATATGTCTTTACAATAAACTTTGGCTCACATTTAGTAAAAGATAAACTTTTCATTCTGCGTAATGTAAGGAAATAGTATTTACCCAGAAGCGGGATGGGACTCAAGAGTGGGAATGCCTGGTTCCCACTACGGTTCACCTACAGATTTCCAGTGGGGAAGGGCTGTGCTACTGCATTTCACCAAAGTGCTCTGAGGCCTTCTGAGTTCGTATTAAAAAAAAAAAAAAAAAAGGCTGTTCCCGATTCTCGTGTAATGAGGATCCCCGCGGTAAACTGCCGGCAGCGCAGTCCAGACCAGCCAGCGTTACTGCACAGTGCTCTCTCAACGCGCTTAGCTGAGCACGGCATAAGGTAAAACGGGTGGTCGTGGGTAACAGGGAAAGCTCTCTGCTGGTGGTGCAGTCGCTAACTCACCGTCTCCAGCCTGCCCACCCTGCCGCTTCCCTTGACCCCGGCTGTGTCCCTCCCCCCCTTGGGCGACCGAGCCTCTCCCTCTCCGCCCGTCGCCGTTCTCCGGCAGCCTGCGGGGCGCTCTGAGCTCGCCAGAAGCCCTTCCCGTCGGTCCCCTTGCCAAACGATGAAGTAACCCAAACCGAAGTCCACG